ACCCGAAACGAGCATTACGCGAATCATTTTGCAATTTCTGCCCGCATCGATTCAGAAAACTCGCCTAGCACGGGAATATTCTGCGCATGCCTTCCTCCGACCGGGCCGGCCACGGATTAGTGTGTTGCCTTCGGGTTACACGCCACCCATCACACGCACACACACGCACAAATACCACGTCCGATCCCTGAATATTAAACGGACGCCTCGGAATCGCTGGCGCCAAATACACAGAAACCAGGAATTATTAAACAACAGATTAATGTTTGCATTAGGTTTGGGACAACACGACGACGGACTGCGGTCGTAGCCGCGTCCGCGCCTCAAGCCGCGTTCCCACCGCCTCGACTTTGGCGTTCGACTTCGCGGCACAGGTTGCCGAGTCCGCGAGAAGCAGTTTCGACAGAAACGAAATGATCAAGTTACGCGACGATGAACTGTTCTTCAAATCTAAGATTTGTCGTGTCGGTGAATTAGCTGCTAAGGACCACGTGATTAGGAAAACTGAAATAAATGACAATGTCTCGAGCTTTAAGTTGGAACAGCGAGGACTACGTTTTAAATGCCATCGTTGAATCGACTTTGGTTTCGGTGTAACAATTTGGGATGTAGATAGAAAAAACTATAAGATCTGAGAAACCAAGTAGCAAAGTTGTACGCCAGAAGTTAAGACGGTGGGGATGTAACTTAAAGACACATCCTCAACGGTTAGACTTTGGTGTAAGACTTTGTTATATAGTCTGACGAGCTAATAGGAGAAACCATGTGGCCTGGAAAACTGCTAGTTCAATTGGTGTGGCAAGCTTCTTTACCGGAGCAGCGAAGTACGCCAAAAGTCGAAACGGATCGGACATGGCTTAACGAGCGAGCTCGGTCGAGCCAGAATGAATACAATGCAACATGAACTAGAGTTTAAAGGTACGAATATTAACCTGTTCGTACAGCAAACGAACAGTTCATTCTCGCTTGCTCTCGCTTGCTCGCTAGGCGTGCACGCGGCTTAACCTTGCGTACCCGGAACGCCAGCTGCGCTAGCATTGTACATTCTTTCCGACAACTCAGATCGCCAGTTGCGCCGGCACGAATACTTTCGCACTCTCTCATTATACGTAATTGCACGAGGGCAAGATGCATTTGTCTCAATAGATTTTGCCAGCGATCGGTGCGCGTTGGCGAACGAATACAAACATCTTGGCCAGACGACACATCTGAGCTGCAATTGTCTCGAAAGACATCGCACACCTTCGAAGATCACAAAAAATACATTTACATGAACGTATCAACGCGTGAACGACAGAATTTTGTCTTCATTGCCAATCTATAAAAAACGATCGATGTTGAATCGTCTTACGTAAATTCTTCGAGTCGCCGGAAAGAAAATGTTAATCCTTCGCAGTCGAGAGGTGACTATAAATCGTCAGTAGAACTGATATAAATTATAAACTCCTATATATTAATATTAATATTGAAATAACATAGCTTTGTTTCTTCAGTTAGGTATTACGTTTTCTGATTGGTTTCGAAGAATGTCGTCTATGCCTCATCGGAAAATGTTGAATACTTCTGATGAAGAACTCTCGAGTGCGAGGGGTCAAGAACGTTTCCAGGGTTGCAAAGGTTCAAACTAACCGGTTCGGCTGAGAGTAGAATACCTGGAGACAATTTAGGCGAGTCGGACGGCTGTAAGGTCGGATATAAATTCACGTTGCAGAAGTCTGTGTCGCAGCAGCTCCTGGACCGATAGATACCCGGTTTACCGAAGCACACCAGCGGAGCTTCCGGCGGTAGCCAGAGCGACCGGTTCAGACACCTTTTGCACAACATCGGATTTGTTTTAAATTCTCGCCAGGTCTGTGGCGTGGACTGGATGGACCGACGATCGGTTTCGTCGACGAACGGGGGCCAAGGCAAGAATCCTCGGGGGTCCCCGAAGCTGCGCGCCGCGTCGCGATAGTAGGAAATCCTACCGCGCCGCTTTCGCGTTTCGACCAATCAAGTAATCCCGGCCGCGCTATTTTCGATGCGATCTCCGACTGAATTATCCGAATTATCTGTCTGGGGCATTAAACATTTAAACTCCGCCCGTACGTCTGCGACCTGAGACCGTCGCGTTCGTCGTCCCGGTCGATTTCGTTCGATTCCGAGACCGCGTACATCGTGGCCCGACTATTATCGGTTACGGTGGCAGACCAGCGAATGGTGAACTCTTGCCACCCAGCGTTTTCCTGTGACCCAGTAAGCAAATCTTCGTTCGAAGAAATCACGCTGTTCACTGGGAACGAGGAAATTATGGTGATCGCTGATCGAGATTACGCAGCAATGAAGATCTTTCTAAAGAAGACTTACACTATGCTCGCTCTAAATAATGAAAAGGACTCATTCTTGTAGAGGAAGTTATTGAGGAACGACCAATGATATTCGGATACAAATTTCTTGCATAAGTAACAGGTAGTCTTAGTCGCGAGGTTCTGGAATACTTCAAGATTTCGTGTATTCCAACGGGGCACCGAAAAACGTGACTTCTTCAACGGTAGAATAAATTCTCATTTGCCTATCGTCGCGACGTCGTTGACGATAAAGTCGACCAGCAACGATCACCGACGACAGATTACAAGTACACGAAGCCTTTTCGATCCGATTCAACTCGCTTCCCCGTTTGTTCGAGGACTGTTCGTGTTCGTTG